GCTAGTATATAGTTCTTCCTATTAATAGCTACTAGCTTATATGGCCTATTCTAATTACTAGATTAACTAGTATTTCCTTTATATTATATAAGAATATTCGAATTTAAAAGAAATTTATAGATATTAGTAATACTAGAACTATTTCTGGTATTTAGGGCATTTGTAATCTGGTATCTAGCTTAAAGCTTCTAAATTTCTACTATTACCTTTTTAAGTACTACTAATTACTATAATATAATTAGTAATAGGGTATTATATTTAGTTATTTAAAGTAAAGTATTATAAACTAAGAAAGTTAGGATAATACTATTAGGTCTAATAGAATTATTAATGGCCTTAAAGGCTATTTAAAATATAATATTCTTATTAATTCTATTAATTTTAGCTATAATAATAAGATAAGTATATTAAATCGGGCTATAATAGTATTTTATAATTCTAATAGAATTATAAGCTTTTATAGAAACGATTTTAATCTTAGTTCTTATAGTATTTATAAGCTAAGTAAACTTCTTACTAGTAAACTACTTTCTAGTATCTATTATAATCTAATTAGAAAAGCCTAAATAGATATTAATCTAATACTACTTTAGAGTATTTTAAGTATATAATATACTAATATTTTAAAGCTATTAGCCGGCTTAATATTAAATGCCTTTATTAATAATATAAAGTATAGGCTTACCGGAAATATAGAAAATATTAATAATAATAAAGTAATTAAAGCTAATATTATTTCTTAGATTAAACTTAAATTATTTTAGTAATTATTCGAATTTCTAATATTACTTATAGTACTTTATAAGACATTTAAGGGCTTCTATATTAATATTATAGCCTGTTTATTCTAGTATATTTCGGAGCTTATTAATAGATAAATAACTAAAATAATAATATAAATATTATAATTCGATTTTTATAAGAAAGCAGGAATTATAAATAAAGAATTCAGAAATAAAGCTTTATAAAGTAATATTCTAAAATAAGAAAAAGTATTTAAAATATTATATTATAGATATAAAGCATTTATTAGAAGTAATAAAATAATTAGTAAGATTATTAAAATAGATTTCTAGCTTATTTATATTAGCTAAGCTAAGTAGAAATAAAGTATTTATAAGTATAATATAGAATTATATTTATCTAATTAGTATTCTTACTATTATAGATCTAATACTAAACTAGATATTAACTTAATCTTTAGTAATTTCATTAAGTTAGATATTACTATTAGTCTACTATAAAGCTTGGAATTAGTTAGAACTAGTAATTAAAAATCTAGAGGCTCCGGTATTAATTATAACTTTATAAAAGTAATAAGTATTATATCTTAATATATTATTAATTATAAATATCTAGGTATTTTCTATTTATTTAATAGGCTCTAAGATATGGTTTTTGCCTATTATTTAGTATATAAGAGAAAGAGATATAAGGTTATTTATAAGGGTATTAGTTATAGAAATAGTAAAAACAAGGGCTATAAAAATAGCTAGAAAGCTTTTAATAAAAATAAAATAGGAATTAAAGTAATATTTCTTTCCTTTATTTATTTTTACTAATAAGGCTTTAAAAGTATTACTTACTAGTTTATTCTTATTGCTTTTATTATTCTTTTTTTTTTAAATTTAGTAATATATTATATATAAGTATTACTAAAGTATTTATTAAAGTTACGGGTATTTCGGGATCTAAATTAGTAAATATTTCTATTCTTAAATCGAGCCTTTTTAGTCTTTTATTTCTCTAGTATATATTTCTATAAATAGTATTCGGGTTTCTTATATATAAAATATAACTTCGGGATATAATTATTATAATTATAGGGCTTAGAATAATTATTACGAGTTCTGAAATTATAGCTGGATTTATATTAATAATTTCTAGACAGGTAATAATTTAGAGGGTTTTAGGAATAATATTATTAATTAATAAAGAAAATCTCGGTATTAATTTATTATTTCTTCTTATAAGTAATAATAAATAATTAAAGCTTATTAATAAGTTAGCCGAGATTAAGAAAAGAATCCGAGACTATATATTAGTATACTAGTATACCTTAATAAGAAGTAATAATCTTATTATATAGAAATTTAGTATTTTATAAAACAAGTACTAGTTTATATTATAATTTATATAAGTTATTAATTAGTAACTAGACAAGCTTAAATATTTTTTTTTAGGGTATTAAACTATTATAATTACTATTATAATAGTATTTTATTTATCTAAGTTTTAATATTAGAAACTAGGGCCTTTAAAAAAGCTATAAATATTTATATAGACCTCTTTATATATATATTAAGAGAGCTAGTTATTATAAAAGTAATCTTATACTAGTTCCTTTAATATAATAGAAAAAGCTCTTACTAATACCTCTTATAAAAGCTTTATATATTAGTAGATATTAAGGAAAATAGCGAGTTTTTAATTAAAACTACTATTAGTTCTATTATATTTCTATATCTTAATATATATCTTTATTACTTCTTTAATTAGCTTTATAATAAAAGGGCTAGCTAAAGGGCTATTTAGAGATAATAGAGGTAATAAAAGTAATAGAAATCCGTTACTATTAGCTTTCTATAATCCGGTATTAGTAGAAGTAATTATAGGTAATAAAGAGATCTAAATAATAATTAGTTTAGTTTATTAATTTCTTATAATACTATTATTAAGAAATATATATAATAAGATAATAGGGCCCGTATTAAGGTCTAGTCTAATAGCAATAATATTAGTTATAGTTTAAATATATTACTTTTTTTCCTAAATAGTATTAACTAAGAACTATATAATAGCAAGTTTCTTATTATTTTATTTAATATAAATACTACTATATTATAAAGTAGCTTGTAATTTATATAGTATATATTAATCTAGATAATTAAGTACTTTAAAGTCGAAATTACTAAAATCTTCCTTAAATAATTTCCAGAGATTATTATTAGTTAACTTCTTTACCTTATACTAGAATAGTCTAGTATTAAGGTAATCCAGAACTTCCTTATTACTATAGGTAATTAGATTAATACCGCTTTTTTACTTCTTTACTTATATATATCTATTTTATAATTCTGCTATACTAAATTTCTAGGGCCAAGCCCTTCTTGATATATATATAATTTATAGTAAGAAAGGTTTAAAGATAAGGTAGTTTATAGTAAGTTCGTAGAAAGGGTTTAGTAATAAAGGTATCCGGATACCTGGTTTAGATACCAGATGCCTGGTTCAGATACCTAGTTGAGATACCAGATGCCTGGTTATTAAGATACCAGATGCCTAGTTCAGATACTAGGTTAAGATACCAGATACCTGGTTATTAAGATACCAGATGCCTGGTTTAGATACCAGATGCCAGATACCTGGTTAAGATACCAGATGCCTCAGATATCTAGGGGTATTAAAGATATTAAAGTAAATATTTCGCCCTTAAATATTTCGTCCGTAATAAGAAATTTAGGAAGTGAAATATTATGATTCCAGAAGGATCTAAAGCTTAAAGAACTCGATTTAATAGTAAAATTGAAGTAGTAGTTAAAGAGCTTTAAGGGCATATATAGAGTATATATTCCGGAGAGAGAATCCTATAGATACGGGTATTATATAAGTAGAAAAAAATAGTTTCCAAGAAAGTAGTCTTGGGACTAAAAGAAGTTAGTTTTAAAGAATAATAGATAGTTAAATAAATAGATAGTCAAATAGCTAATTACTTATTAATTAGTAAGAACTAGAGTCTTTTTCCTTAGGCTACCGGATACTTTATAGAGTTAACGAGTAATTTCCTCCTTTAATAAAGTAGTTATTAGTTCTTAGTAAGAGCTAGCTATTTTCTTCCTTAGGCTATTAGATACTTTATAGAGTTAATAGGTAATTTCCCTCTTTAATATAAACTAGTTTAATTTTACTATAGGCTACTAGATACTTCTTTAGCTTAAAAGATTCTATTCTCTAATCTATATATATAAACTAATTAGTATTAGTTTACTAGTATTATATAGTACTATTATATAATTATAAAATACTATTTATATAAATTAGTAAAGTTATTATTTAGAAGTAAGAATTATAGTATTATAGTATTAATATATAATTCCTAAATCTGCTAAGCCTAAAAAAGTGTTACGTGGCACCAGTCACGTGGTGCCACTGCACGTGACTTAGCGTGTAGCTAGTGCTTTTAGCCCGGCACACAGCCTTTAGCTCAATTCAAGCTCTTTACTACTACTGCAATATTACCTTATTATAACAAAAAGTCTAGTTTACTAGTCGAGTTACTAATAGGATACAAGGCTATATAACTATATCTCGTATCTTATATTCTATTACCTATATCCTATTACCTATATCCCGTATTTCGTATCCCGTAACTATATATATAACTCCCAAAGAAATAGCTATATTAATAATATTATTATAGTTATATAATACTAAATTTACTAGTAAAATAATAGAATATAATAATAACTAATATATAAAAAGTTTTTTTTAATAAAAAAAGCCAAGAAAATAGCTTTTTATAAAATAGTTTATTTAATAATAATTAGAATACCTTAAATAATTTTAGGGCCAAAAGACTTATAATATATATATATATATATTACTAAATTTATATTATTATTTTCTTATATTTTTATTTATTAAAAAGCAGTTTATTATAATATATAAAAAGATTTTTTTTAAAAAAAAAAGAGAAAATAGCTTCTAAAAAGCAATTTATTATAATATATAAAGAGCTTTCTATAAATAGTAGATATAAGTCTAAGTATAAATTAAATGCAATTCTATCCCTAATTTTAAGTAATATATAATTTGTGATTTTAGTGGTTTGGTGGTTTGGTGCTCGAGTATTTTGGTTTTTTGGTTTTTTGGTTTTTGGCCTTTTACCGCCTAAAATCCTGCCCTAATTGGTACCTGTTCTACGATTGGCTCCTACCACTCAACCGCTGCGCTCCAGGGCCATGCCTATCGATAAGGCGAGCTGTAACCGCTGGCCCCTGGGCTATGCTTACGAAAGTACCAATGAGGGTGGCCCGATAGTGCTCATGAGACTGTCCAAAGGTCTCAATGTAACTGAGCTTGCATACGCATTATCAAGTTAATCCATGCTAGTGTTCTCTACATGATCAAAACGATGTTCCCCAGACCAAGTCTTCCCGCACTCACGCTAGATCTAATCACATATACACCTCCTGCTTCCAATAATGTTCTCACTCTGACACCCTGATACCATCCAAAAGGAAAACACCTCTTTATCATGACTACTACCTCCGGCACCCTCAATACCTTTGGCGACGCCCTCAATAACATGGGTTTCTGGGGCGCATCTAACATAAACCCAAACAACATGCAAAACAACTGCGTCTCCGTCTCAGTAGCACACATGGAGTACTACAGCACCGTCGAAGACTTCTGGCGCGACATCTATAACGCCCCACTACCAGACCAGCCTCTCAATCTCTGGCAGATAGAAGACATGATCCGCCGCACGCAATACCAGTTCCGCTGGGTCGAGTTCAAATCCAGGACGATCGACAGCCAGCACGTGACAGCGTACGACCTCCTCCGCTTCAATTTCCCCGCACGAGGTGATGGCGGCAGTACGGGGCCCCGCGGCCGACCGCTTGCGCTTTACAAACGCAGAGATGGGAGCGGACATTGTGTTACTGCAGCGTACGAGTTACCGGAAGCTGTCGGTGCTCCGGGACATCCCCGCGTGGTAGAGGGCGAGCCGACAGAGTTTACGTTTCAGGATTGGCAGCATGGTGAGGGTGTGGATTGTGCTTGGGATGTCATGGCGGCGGATAGTATTATAATTGGGTACCAGGCTGAGTTTCTGGGATCAGTACAGGAGTATAATAGTGCTATTGATGGCCGTATTGCGAGGATGCAAGCTGGTCGTGGTACCGGGTCATATGACTATTAGGGCTTGCAAAGAGGGTTGGAATATTCTAGAGCGTACGAGGTACCAATGAGAGTAGCTACTCTATTTCTTGCATTACAGATCATCTGTTTCCGAATAGAGTTTCAGAGGTTCAGTTCGCCTTAGGCATGTGCTGATTTGACTCGTTTTATTATCTCTGCGAAGGGGTGAATTCTGTAAAGGAAATATAGATGTTGGGGATGATGACATGGGGAAAAGCGATGGATAAAAGGATGGTTGGGATGAAATGTGTCGGGAGGACTCTTGGCAGAATGGTTTGTGATTGTGCTACAAGGATTCAGTTGAGTCAAGTACTGAGAAGAATCGTTCAATTAGACACATAGAGCAAACCACCAAGGTCTTATCATTTTGTATAAACTTCATGCTTCAACTCCCGCTCTAAAACCTTGAGATGTCCCGTCCAAAAATCCAGTTGATCGACCTGCATCATTAGTCACCATCTCTTCTTGACTTGAGGAGCACTCACCAATAAATTGGAATCAACAATTTGTTCCTCCAGCTAACTGTTTGCGTGAGGTAGGCTCCTCTCCAAATCAACCACGCCATTCTCCTGTTTTCTGTCAGCCTTCCTAACGTACTCCCGAGAATATTTTGACGTACCCCTTGACCTCCGTTCCACCTTCCGCCTGCATGATAGCCTTCATATTCCCCAGATAGGTCATCACACCCAGATTCTTGAAGTTAAATCCCTCACCCTGGCCTTGAATATCCCCCTTGTTGAGTTTCTTACCAAGCCACTTGGCTTCCTGGTTGGCTACCTGAGCCGTTGCTGGTAGTTGTGCTTTCTCCAAGACTGCGACGTCGCCCAAGGCGAACACGTCCTGCATTGTTGCTTCTGGTGAACTCGAGTCGAGGGGAGCGGTGAGTTGAGAACCGTTTCGTGGGACAAGCTTTACGCGGAAATGGTCATCTACCATCAGGCCTCCGGATTTGGGGTGGCGTTTGAGAGACCATTTCTGTGCTGAGGGGTCTTCGAGTTGATTCGAGAGGTGAGCTGAGGCTGTAGGGTACGTATGAACGTCATCAAGAGCATTTTGGATGAAGGGATTCATCATCAGGCCGGTTGACCAGACACACATCCCCACTCCTACTTCTCCATCTTCCTTGGTCTTTAAAGTAAAGCACCCGCCGTCAGTGTTTGGATTTGAGGAGTCAGGGAGCCCTGGACGTAACTCTTCTATGTGGTGTTCGGTCTTGATTTGGATGCCATCACGGCGGAAAAGGTTGAGTGCGTATTCGGCGAGCGAACTGTCGAACATGGGCAGGATCTTGGGAGCTACGTCGTAGATTGTTATTTTTATATGGGGAATTAGGGTGGGGTAGAGCTTTCGGAGGTCCTCATGACAGAGGTCAAACAGCTCGGCGGCGAATTCAACGCCGGTGGCTGGAAGGGTTAGTGATGGTGATGAGAGGAACGAGGAACGAGACTTACGGCCTCCTCCAACGACGGCGAAGTTCAAGAGCTGGTCTCGCAGCTTGTCTGAAGTTGTGGGTAAAGCAGCGGTTTCGAAGCCTACACAAGTCAACAATCGCCTCCAGTTTGAAGAGAGGTCCCACATTCGAGAATCCGCTTCCGAATCTTCCTCGCATCAACGACATCCTTCAGAAAGAAAGCATTTTCCTTGACGCCAGGAGTTCCAAATGTCTGACTATAGCATCCTACAGCGATGACAAGCTTGTCATACGTCAAACCAAACACTTGACCTTTCTTCTTGGACCGTTGAGATTGATCTGCTTCGGCGAGGCTCGCAGCATGAAATGCTTTCCCGGAAAGCTGCAGCGGCCTCCTCACAGTAGCGTCTTCAATAAGGACCCTCTTTTCGTTGAAATTAACGTCGTCCGCCCAGCCCTGGAAGAACTCTACACCGGCAGAACGAGCTCTAACAGACTCAAGAGTCGTCCGGAACTCGAGGGTGCCAACGGCTGTTGACGCAAGCAAGGGAGTGAAGACGAAGTACGTTCTGGGAGAGACCACAACGGGTTGAAACTTCTTCTTGTCTAGTTGCCGTGATAGAACAAAACCAGCCCAGCTGAATCAGTCAGAAGAGTGCAAGAATGTGTGGGAAGAGCTGACCCTGAGCCTAGAATAACTACACGCTCTCGATCTGAAACCGTTAGTACATAGAAAAGCCGAGAGCAAGATGATAAACTCGCCTCCTTTCATAACATCCAACTCCTTCGTTGAGACACCCCTCCCAAGGAGGCCCCTCCCGACCAGGCTTCTCGGGAAAGCACGTGTATTCCTTACAGATGAAAATGTCATGGATTTCATGTCTGGGAACAAAAGAGGATACAAGAGCCACTCGAGTCTTTTCTAAAAGCTGAAAAATCGTGACTCTTCAAAATTAAGTGTCTTGTTCACGAAGGGCTGGGCATCCGACTTTCTCCGGCATGCGGGGATGAGGTCATAGCTCTTCGAATCAACAATCTGCTGTGGCGAGAAAAGGGAGAGAATTTTATGTGATTGGGGGATGAAAAGAGATTTGAAGCACATGCGAAGGAGATGATAGTTGAGCGTGATTTTCATTTGCATGTGCGGAGAGGGGGTGTGAGGAGGAATTCGGATGGATTTGGCTTTGAGCCAAGAGTTCAGAAATACGCCCTCCGCTCCCTCCCCACCCCGGCGCCCGCCCGTGGCGCAAACGGGTGACCGGGGATGAGCGGCCTGGCGGGATGCGGGAAAGTGGCGTGTAACCGAGATCCAAGGTCAACGCACGCACCAAGCCAACGCACGCTTCTCCTAAAATTACACCACCAACTTCAAAAATCGATAAAATGGTCAACGAACAAGATATAGAGAAAGCGCTTAATGTATTAGATAGGCAATTAATCCCTAATTATGCTGAGATCAGTAAATTTTTTGGAATTGAACAGATAATGCTTATATAAAGGCATAAAGGTATTTTTACTTGAAAGTAAAAGCCTGTCTTTATATACTATAAACTTTTTACTAATATATAAAAAGAGGCTTTAGTTAATTAAATTAATAAGCTTATAATTCGGAACCTTTCTTCTATTACTTATATTATTAAAAACTTTATAAATAAGAATTAGATAGCTAGTTTTATCTAATAATATTTATTCTAGTTTAAAAGTTTTTATTTATATAATATTAATAATCTATAAATAAAATCGGAATATAGGTTTTATATTTAATTCTTCTTTAATTTAGTAGTATTTATTTTAGTATTATTTTTATTTCTTATAAATTTTTTAAATAAAATAACTAATATTTATATTCTTTTATTTAATTAATTATAGTAATTAATAATATATTAAATAATTAGATTAGATTAGATTAATAGCTATTAATCTAATCTAATTACGAAATATATTTATTAATTATATTCTATTTATATATTAATTAAATTAATTATAATTAATATATATATAATCTTATACGTGACCGTACTAGCCTAATCTGGTAATACTCCTACCTGCTCTAGCTCTAGTATTATACTAATTAGAGGCAGTAATACTTAGTAAATAATTTGAAGCTAAATTAAAAAAGAGAAAATATAAGAAAATAACTAGTTTATTATTATTAAAAGCTAGTATATAGCTACTATTATATAAGCCCTAGCTTAGTTTAATTAGGGCAACCTAATAGGTGCCTTAGTTATTTAATACTTATTAAGTAAATAGTAATTTACTATAATTATATAATAGATTAATTAGATTAATTATAATTAATCTAATTATATTAATTAATATAATTAATTCTTTAATATACTAATAATTGAGAATTATAATATTATAATAGAAAATATATATAATTAAAATAAAAAGAGTTTTTTAATTAGAATTATTTATATTTTAAAATATATAATAATAATAAAGCTATATAATAATAGAAAAAGTAAAATAAAGTAAAATAAAATAGCTTATAAGAATTTATTAGCTTATTTATTACTATTTATATAAATAATATAAAGAAATCTCTGGAAATCTTTAAGATTTCTAATTAGAGAATTTAAAAAAAAGTATTTTTTTTTTATATTATTAATAAATAAATAATTCTCTAATATTATTAAATTAGCTTATTTTATTCAGGTTTTTAATTCTATTACTTATATAAAAGCAAGATATAAAAAAAGACTTTTAATTATAAATTAATATAAAGTTTATTAAAATATATAATTAATTTAAGTTTTTATTTCTAATTTTACTTTTATATTTTATATATTATTTTTAGTTTTTTAATATTAGTTATTTCTTTCTATTAGCTATATATTATATTATTAAGATTAATAAGATTATTATTAGTTTACTAGTAATATATAGTACTATTATATATTTATAGAATACTATTTATATAAGGTTAATAAAGTTATTATTATCTAAAAATAAGAATTATAATATTATAATATTAATATATATTTCCTAAATCTGCTAAGCCTAAAGAAATCTAGTCTACTAGTCAAGTTACTAATAAAATACGAGGTTATATAACTATATCTCGTATCTTATATTCTATTACTTATATTCTATTACCTATATTCTATTACCTATATCTCATATCCCGTATCCCGTAACTATATATATAATTCCCAAAGAAATAACTATATTAATACTAGAAACCCTCTAAAAAATACGAAAAATAGTTCTTTTTTCTAATTATATACAAATTCCCTAATCCGGCCTAGTACTAGATTTCTAAACGCTTTATATATCTATATTACTTTTAAGGTTTTAATTATATACTAAAGGCTATAGTCTTTTATATATAACTTCTCTTCTTATAATATTCTTTTATCTCATATATCTATTTTCTGCCCTATTTATACTTAATTTATTTCTTTATATCTAATTATATAGTATTTATATTAATTAGGTACTTAAGGGTATTTATTAGCTTTAATTTTATTATAGAATTAGTAGAATTCGATTCTCTCTTAATCTATTTAATTTTTATAATCTCTCGTTATTTATATATATAGTAAAAATATATTATATTAATTATTAGATGCTTTTCTCGAGTAATTCCTAATTTAATAAGGCATTTATATAAAGACTTCGAATTCATATAAACTACTAGTAATAATTCTATTTCTAGTATTCTATTAATTATAGATTTAACTAAAGCGACTATATTAAAGCTATAAGTTATATTATAAAGTTCTAAAGCTAGAATACTTCTAGTAATTCTCTTATACTTAGTAAAGAACTAGTAAATAATATTAGTATATCTAGTTTTATTTATTAGAACTAGAATATATCTGATTTAAAAAAAGAGATCTCTATTATTTATAAATAAAGCATTTATAAAAATAATTAAATATAATAATTTTTTTACTAGCTTTATAAATCTTAGTTCTTTAGTAATATTTTTAACTTGCTATTAAATATACTTATTAAGTATCTTTATATTAGTTTCTAAGGGTTTAATAGCTTAAATAATAATTAATAAGTTATATAAAGCTTCTAATTAATAAACTAATATAATATATCTTTCTCTAGTATATTAGTTCTTAATAAAAAGATTTTAATAAATAGTACCCCTATTACTTATAATAGTAATATTTTTTATAGAAACGATTTAGAGGTTTTTATACTAGTATTCCTATATAAAGGTAATTCTAGTAGTATTTATATAAATAATACCTTTATTAAACTTGAAATTATAATTAATAATAAGGTATTTATACTTTTTAGTCAAGAACTTAGCCTCTTAAAGCTTTAGTTACTTTACTTTTATAAAATTATTAGTTCTAATAAATAGGGTATTATTAGTTTAAAGGCTAATAATTTCAAAGAATTACTTGCTATAAAAAAGACAAGAATTATAAGTTAACTATTCTATAGAAAGCTCATTAATATAATAGGAATAATAAGTTTTAAACTAGTAGTTTCTAGCTTCTAGTATATTATATAATGGTTTTATAACCTTTATAACCAAATTATTATTTAGATTTAGCTTTCTAATAAACTTATAAGATAAGTTAATATAAAAATTATAATTAAGTAAGGCTATTAATTAGATATAAGCTTATAAGATATTATATAAATATAATTTTATAATATCTATTATTATAGTAATAATACTAAGAATAATTCTCTAATTAATATATTAAATAGTAAGTAATTATATTAATATTATATATTTCTTACTATTATTATAAGCCTAGATAACTAGTCTCGATTTTTAAACTTTCTTTCTATATCCTTATTTTTAAACTTATTAATAAACCGAGAATTAAAAATATATATCTTTTATAGTACTTGAAATCTAGAAGTAATCTTAAATATATTCTTTTCTAGAAAGCTAGTAACTTTAATTTAATAGAAGTTCTTATATAAGTCATTATCCTATAGAAATACCATAATATCCGGGTTCTTATAAGAGTATTCTCTATTATACTTTAGTAAAATAGCAGGAATAATAAAAGAAATTATATTTATATTACTTTTAGCCTTATTATAGAATTCGGAAATAAATTCAAGTTCGGGGCTATTAGTAATAACCTTAATATCTCTTATATAAAAAGGCTTTATAAAAGTTAAACGAAATATAATATTATTATATAATAAAGCTAGTATATAGCTCTCTCTATTAATAGCTACTAGCTTATATGGCCTATCCTAATTACTAGATTAACTAGTATTTCCTTTATATTATATAAGAATATTCGAATTTAAGAGAAGTTTATAAATATTAGTAATACTAGAACTATTTCGGGTATTTAGGGTATTTATAATCTGGTATCTAGCTTAAAGCTTCTAAATTTCAACTATTACTTTCTTAAGTATTACTAATTACTATAATATAGTTAGTAATAAGGTATTATATTCGATTATTTAAGATAAAATACTATAAATTAAAAGAGTTAGAATAATACTATTAGGTCTAGCAGAATTATTAATGGCCTTAAAAGCTATTTAAAGTATAGTATTCTTATTAATTTTATTAATTTCGGCTATAATAATAAGATAAATATATTAAATTAGGCTATAATAGTATTCTATAATTCTAATAGAATTATAAGCTTTTATAGGAATAATTTTAATATTAGTTCCTATAGTATTTATAAGCTAAGTAAATTCTTTACTAATAAACTACTTTCTAATATTTATTATAATCTAATTAGGAGAGCCTAAATAAGTATTAATCTAATATTACTTTAAGATATTTCAAGTATATAATATACTAATATTTTAAAGCTATTAGCCGGCTTAATATTAAGTGCCTTTATTAATAATATAAAATATAGGCTTACCGGAAATATAGAAAATAATAATAATAAAGTAATTAAAGCTAATATTATCTTTTAGGTTAAACTTAAATTATTCTAGTAATTATCTGAATTTCTAATATTACTTATAGTATTTTATAAAATACTTAAGGGCTTTTATATTAATATTATAGCCTGCTTATTCTAGTATATTCCGGAGCTTACTAATAAATAAATAACTAAAATAGTAATATAGATATTATAATTCGATCTCTATAAGAAAGCAGGAGTTATAAATAAAGAATTCAGAAATAAAGCTTTATAAAATAGTATTTTAAAGTAAGAAAAAGCATCTAAAACATTATATTATAAATATAAAGTATCTAGTAAAAATAATAAAATAATTAGTAAGATTATTAAAATAAATCTCTAGCTTATCTATATTAGCTAAGTTAAGTAAAAATAGAGTTTTTATAAATATAATATAGAATTATACTTATCTAATTAGTATTCTTACTATTATAGATCTAATAAAAAATATAAATCTAATACTAAACTAGATATTAACTTAATCTTTAGTAGTTTTATTAAGTTAGATACTATTATTAGTTTGCTATAAAGCTTGGAATTAGTTAGAACTAGTAATTAAGAATCTAGAGGCTCTAGTATTAATTATAATTCTATAAAAGTAATAAATATTATATTTTAATATATTATTAATTATAAATATCTGGGTGTCTTTTATTTATTTAATAGGCTCTAAGATATAATTTTCGCCTATTATTTAGTATATAAAAAAAAGAGATATAAGGTTATTTATAAGAGTATTAGTTATAGAAATAATAAGAGCAGAAGTAGTAGAAATAGTTAGAAAGCTTTTAATAGAAATAAAATAGAAATCTGAGTAATATTTCTTTTCTTTATTTATTTCCGCTAGTAAAGCTTTAAAAGCATTATTTTCTAGTTTATTTTTACTATTCTTATTATTCTTTTCCCTTTTAATTTCGGTAATATACTATATATAAATATTACTAAAGTATTTATTAAAGTTATAAGAGTTTCGGGATCTAAATTAATAAACGTTTCTATTTTTAAATTATACTTTCTTAGCTTCTTATTTCTCTAGTATATATTTCTATAAGTAGTATTCGGGTCTCTTATATATAAAATACGATTTTGGAATATAATTATTATAATTCCGGGACTCAGAATAATTATTACGGGTTCCGAAATTATAGCTAGGTCTGTATTAATAGTTTCTAAACAAATAATAGCTTAAAGGATTTTAAAAATAGTATTATTAATTAGTAAAAAGAATCTCGGTATTAATCTATTATTTCTTCTTATAAATAGTAATAAATAATTAGAGCTTATTAATAAATTAGCCAAGATTAGAAGAAAGATCTGAGACTATATATTAGTATACTAGTATACCTTAATAAGAGATAATAATCTTATTATATAGGAATTTGATATTTTATAAGGCAAATACTAGTTTATATTACAATTTATATAGGTTATTAATTAGTAGCTAGATGAGTTCAAATATTGTCTTTTTAGGGTATTAAGCTATTATAGTTATTATTATAGTAGTATTTCACTTGTTTAAATATTAATATTAGAAACCAGGGCCCTTAAAGAAGCTATAAATATTTATATAGGCCTCTTTATATATATATTAAGAGAGCTAGTTATTATAAAAGTAATCTTATACTAGTTTCTTTAATATAGTAAAGAAAGCTCTTACTAATACCTTTTATAAAAGCTTTATATATTAGTAAATATTAAAAAAAATAGCGAGTTTTTAGTTAAAACTACTATTAGTTCTATTATACTTTTATATTTCGGTATATATCTTTATTACTTCTCTAATTAGCTTTATAATAAAAGGGCTAGCTAAAGAGCTATTTAGAGGTAATAGAAGTAATAAAAGATTATTAGTTTTGGCTCTTTATAGTCGGGTACTAGTAAGAGTAGTTATAGGTAATAAAGAAATAATAGATAATAAAGAAATATAAGTAATAATTAGTTTAGTATATTAATTTCTTATAATACTATTATTTAGAAATATATATAATAAGGTAATAGGGCCTGTTTTAAGATTTTATTTAGTAATAATAATATTATTAGTAGTCCAGATATATTATTTCTCTCTCTAAATAGTATTAACTAAAAACTATATAATAGTAAAGTAATTATAATTATATTTAATATAAATACTATTATATTATAAAATAGCTCGTAATTAATATAATATATATTAATCTAATTAATTAAATATCTCGAGATTAAAATTACTAAAATCCTCTTTAAATAATTCCCAGAGGTCCTTATTAGTTAACTTTTCTATCTTATACTAGAATAATCTAGTATTAAGGTAATCCAGGATTTCTTTATAGTTAGAACTAGCCAGGTTAATACTATCTTTCTATTTCTTTATTTACTTATATTTATCTCAAAGGTTTACTATCCCGAACCCTTAGGGCTAACCCCTTTCCGGTATATATATATAGTTTATAGTAAGAGAGGTTTAAGGGTAAGGTAGTTTATAGTAGGTTTATAGAAAGGGTTTAGTAATAAAGATATCCAGATACCTGGTTCAGATTAGGGTAGGGAATAGTGTGACCTTAGTCCAGTGCCACCGCAGTAGTGCGGTATAATATAGCCATAGTCTAGTTTAGTACAGATATACTATACTGCGGTATAACCGTAGTTTAAGGGGCAGTCTCGCTTAAAATTACCCAAGGATGTCAAGTGACTTATAGTAAATAGAAAATAGCCAAACCTTAACGTAATTAAATAATTCTTTTATTATTAGAAAGGATTAATCTGGGGCTTTAAAATGCATTAAAGAAATTAATTTTAGGTATAGTAGTTATGGAAATATATCTAAATGCTTAATCGGAAATTCTTGAAGCTATTTACCGAGTTCTTGCTCCGGTACCGGGAGAGAATTTTTCTCTAACTCAAGCCTCTCTTGAATTTCTCTTAATTAAAATGCTTTCTATTAATTAACCACTATATAACCATGCCTCCAAAGGCCTAATTAATACTTCCTTTTGGGAAAACCACTTAGTCAAGCTCTTTTAATAAGAGAAATTCCTCTGTAATTAACCTAGAAGCTTCCGAAATTAATAGTCAAGCCTCTATAAATTCGACTCTAGCCCCTCCCGAAACCTCGAATATCCCTTCCGAAACCTTCGAACCCCTCCAAAAGCCTCCGAATAAGAAGACTCTACGTACCTCCTGGATATTTAAGTAGATAAGAGGTATAGATAATATATAATACGTATTCTATAATATAGCTAGTAAGGAGAAGTAGTATTATCGATTTTACTTGTAAAATTACTAAATTCGTAGTGGAACTAGTACTATTAGGGCCTATTTAGATACGTATAATATCGGAAAGAAGTCCTCTGCGAATACTAAGGCAAAGAATATACAAATTACAATCGAAGAAACTATTGAATTAGTAGCTCAGAACCCTCAGAAGTATAGAAAACTCAATGATTCGGATAGTAGTGAAATACCCCTTAATAGAGACATTCTTAAGGTTCTATATATCAAGTTTATAGTAGCTTGTAATATACTATTACACTTAGTAAAGTACCCGGAATTCAGAGCCCTGCTTTTATACCTTAATTCTAATATTAATTAATAGCTCCCAATAGCTTATAAGACCATACGAACCTGGGTTATATACTAATTTGAGATTAAGAAAAGAAAGATTAAAATATACTTTTAGAACTCTAAGACTAAGATTTACTTATCCTTTAATATTTAAACTTTACTAAGTAATAAGCTAATCTTTAGTATTATTACTTACTATATATCTAATACCGGGATACTAGAATAAGTTATACTTGCTATAAAGGAGATAGAGAGTAATTATAGCGGCTTAAACCTTATACTAGTTCTTATAAATATAATTAGGGACTAGGAAATTATATTAAAGCTAGGATATATAGTAATAGATAATACAAGTAATAATAATATAATAATACTAGTATTCTTAATAGGTATTATAAGAGAGAAACTATAATAAGACAAAAACCTATATAAAGTATACTAGAGTATAAAATATAACTTAATAGTAAAATAATAAATTAAAAGTATAAATAGTAAAGTATAAATAATATATAGTATATAAAAGCTTAATTAATTAAATACTTATAAAGAATTATTCTTTAGAACTATAAAAAACCAGTTTTCTTATATAATTTCTGCAAGTCACGTGCAAAAGACTATAGCCTTTACCATATAACCTAAATCTCAAAACTACTAAAATAATATAATTTTTAATAAGTATAGCCTGCTATATTATATCCGATCTCCTATTTATTCGTACTTATTTCCTAAATACTAAAAATAATAGAAAAATCCTATTTAGAGTCTAAAATAATGAAATATTCAGGATCTTTCTTTATTAATTAATCTAATTTCTCCTTTATATACCTAAAATAAAACTTATTACTCTCAAATAGTTTTATTTTATACTCTCGAACTTGTTTAAAGGTAATCCGAATCCGCTTAATTATATTCTTATACTAAATCTAATATAGTTCCTTATATTAATTAGTATCTGCCTTTAACTATTACTTAATTTCCGCCTTTATTATAGTAAATTATATTATAAATTATACTAATATATTCTAAATAAATAGCTTCTTTAAATTTTATATTATTTGTAGTATTTTTGAATTAATCTTTAATAAGAGAAGAAAGCTCTAGATAAGAGACTTTAATAATCTTATAAAAGACTTTATTTTCGTATATTCTATTCTTAATAATAACTAGACTTATTAAAATTATAATAAAAGGCCTATTAAGTAGTAAATTATTATTAAGCTATTCTTTAACTTATATATTATCCGAGAATTAATACTTCTCTATAATTCCAGACTTATAAATTACCTAGCTAAAGGCATTTATTTATCTAGTTAAATAGACTATATTCGAAGTCTTTTTTCTTATTACTTTTAGTAAATACTTATCTAATTTCTTAGCTATTTCCGGCTTAAATTTATTAGAAATAGAGAAGTAATTAATATCTTTAAAGAACTTCTTACTAAAAATAGTAGTTTTTTTATAGTCTATAAAGAAAATATAGCTAATATTTCGATACTTTTTATTAAGGTAGAATTTATTACTTAAAGCTTTAATAGTAGCCAGATTTTTAGTATTGCCTTTATACTAATTATAATTAATATTTCTAGAAGTAAAATATTAGGCTAGCTAAAGGTAAGTAACTAGATAAATAGAATACTTATTTAATATCTTATAAAATCCGAGCTATATTAATAAATCTACTATTAAGAATTAAGAGGCTAAAATAAAGTAACTATTACTAAGATTTCTATATATTAATAATTTTTTTTTTTAAAAGTAGAACTATAATATCTTTATTTCCTTTATTAAAAGTTCTTAAATACTAAGCTTCTTAATTTACTTTAGGTAATTCTTCTTATAAATATAGCTATTTATATCTAGATTAGTAATATTAGACTTAGGAACAGGAACTATAGTATTAAATTAGAGCTATAAATTAGGGCGGAATTAATTAGAAATATAGTATTTATATTTATATTATTTAATTTCCTAGATTTTAAAGAAGAAATCCTATATTTCCTTATTTACCTAAATAATAGAAATATATTTCTTGCTTTTAGTAATTTTATAAATCTTAGTAACTAGCTTTAAAGTATCCTTAATATCTTATATATTAATAGAAAAAGTATTAGTAAATTATTAAATATATCCTATATAAAGAGCTTTAAGGAATCTATTATTAATCCTATAATATTCTTACTTATAAATAGGTTCTAAAATATTATTATATATTTCTTTAAAGATATACTTATCTTACTAAGTAAGTATTAGCTTCTATTTAGCTAGTATCTTATAAGTATACTAAATGCCTTTATTAAGTTCTCTAAACTTAATATTCTTAGTTTTCTATTTCTTGGTTCTAGATATAGTTACGGGAGTCTTTCTAGATAATATCTTTTTTTTTAAAATAAAGAATTTCTTTTTACTTTCCTCTATTTTACTAATATTATATTTAGTCTAGTATTTAGATCTCTAATATTTATTAGAAATCTTAGGCTTAGCTTACTTTCTATTCTTGCTAGGTTCTTCTTATCTAGTTATACTAGTTTTATTAGTCTTACTAGTAGTTTTCTTACTAGGCTTTATTAAATTAGCTTTATTTTTCTTAGCTAGATCCGGTTAAGTTAAAGCTAAAATTATAATAGGAGCTTATTTTTTAGGCTTATTTCGGAAAGTAGGAAAAGGCTTATTATTATAAATTCTTTTAATTAGAATTCCGGAAATATTAAAAATATATTATCTAGCCTTGAAATTATTAGCTAATAATAGCTTAAACTCTAATTCTCTAGATTTCAAAATAGCTTTAGTATACTTAAATACCTTAGTAATATCTAATTTAGTAAATATACTAGTATTCTAATATTTCTTGTTTTTAATATACTCTAAAGTAGCTTTATTAATTAACTAAATAGCTTTATATACTAAAGCTTTTATTTTAAAGAAAAAGTATAACTTCTTATAAATATTCTTATTAAGGTTATTATAGATATTATTAATATATTAGTAAAAAGCTTTATTATATAATATAATTCTATTTTAATTCTTGGTTTTTAGATTATTTATTATAGTTTTAATCTTATTAAGCTTTTCTTATCTATTTTTAGAAATACTTTTAATAATATTCTCGAATTCTCTATTATTAGCTTAGTAGTTCTTTAGCTTCTTTTTAGTTAATTCTAGCCTAGTTCTATTTCTAATAAAGGTTTTCTACTTTAAAAGCTTATTATATATATTATTTAGCTCATCTAGAATATTCGTATTAAATTCGGTAATTATAGTTATTTTTTCTGGTATTAGTAGGCTTTTTATAACTACCTAAGCTTCTTTAATATTCTAAACTTTAATACTATTAATTTATAGGCTTTTAATAATACTATGGCTTATAAGAACTAGCTATTATATTTTACTAGCTTAAGGAATCTATACTTTAACTATTTTATTATTTTTAATAGATTATAAAGATATTATTAGTATAATAGTTATAGGTTATAGAATTAAAAGTTCTTAAGATTATAAGAATTTCTTTTAAGTATATTCTAAAATAAAGAATAAATTAGAATAGGCTTAAATTATATAAAGGTATTATATATATTCGAGTTTTTTTTTCTCTTTCTAGTAAGAAAATAAAGCTAAAATAATAATATATATAATAAGAAAAGTAAATATATTAATTAGATATATTTAAGGTAATATAATTATAAATTAGAAATAATTATAAAAAGTAAAATATAGAATTAGGCTTCTATTATAAAAAAAATATAAATATAATTAAGGAAATAATTAAGGTAAGTTAAACTAAATAGTAATAATAGGGAAATAAGAAAGTAATATAATAGAAATATAGATATAGTAATAGTATCTAAAGTATTAGAATATAAAAGAAAATAATATAAATATATCCCGATTTTTTATTTATTTAGAGATATTTCTATTAACTTAAAAAATAGTATAAAAAAAAGGAAATAATATAGGAAATATATAAAAAGTAAGATATATAAATATATTAAAGATATTAGAAAAATAAGAAATAAGTATTAATAAAAAAGAAGTTAGAATAATAGAATTAAGAAATAACTTAAAATAAGATATTATTTCTTTTGAAACTAATTTATATTTCTTTTAAAAGCTAATTATATTTATTTAGTATTTATTAAAGTCGATTTTATATAATATAAAACTATTTAGTTAGTTAGAACTTTAAAGTAATATTTATATTTATAAAAATAATATTAAAAATATTAGAATATATAGAAATAAGAATTATAAAATAATATAAATAAGGTTTATAGTATTATTATTAAGTTTGGAATAATTAATATTAATATTAATATAGAATATAGAAAGATTAAATATTCTGAATTAGTATTAAAGATATAGGAATTATTTAGATAATATTTAATAGTAAGAAATAAATTAATAATAAGAATTAATAAATTATACTAGCTTTTTAAAAAAAGTAATTAGTTCCTAATAATAAAATAATATTATAATTAGAGAAATGATTTTATATAAGAAAAGTTCTTTATAAAAATAAGAATATATAATATACTAACTAAGCTTTAATATAAGTTTTAAGAATAGTTATAGTATATATCTTAAGTATAGCTATAAATATATAAGAGAGAAAATAAGTTCCTTAATAAGAGATAAGCTAGATATAAAATAGGCTTTAAATAAGTAAATCTAGTTTATTTAATATCTAAAAGATTTCCAGAATTATATATTATTAAGTATTTTTAGAAATAACTATTAGGTTTAATAATATTTCCTTTTTCTTTTATAAGGCTTCTAGTTTAGCTATTCTATTTATATATAACTTCTAATTAGGAAGTTTATTTAGATATTATAAGGAAACTTATAATAATAGTTTAAATTAAAATCGAAATTTATAAATATTATAGTTAAGCTTTAGACTAGTATAAGTATTAGGAATAGCTAGTTAAAAAGGCAAATAGAGCTTCTAAAAGATTTCTAGTTTAGAAAGATATATATAAAAGGCCTTTTTTCATTTTCATTTTTTTTTCTATTTCTAAATATAATTATTATTTA